CCGCTTCTGCCGCGGCGGCTGCTCAAGTACCCTGCCAGAAATGTGTTTGTACGGCGGAAACAAAACGTAAAATGAGTCATCTGGCGTTTGCCAGATTTTGTAAATTTTTGATGAAAATCTTCTACGGTTGTGTGTTATTTTGACATTTCCGTGCGGGACATGTCCACACATTTCTGCTCGTCGGCGTGCAGCTTGCCGCCGGTGCTCCGTCGCGGTCGTTCCCGGGCGGTGCGGGTCAGCCACCCACGGCAAGACTTTCTGATCGATGTGCGCGGCGGCGGCCGACACACACCGCACCAGACGGAAACGTATTGAAAATGGAGAGGACATGACTTTTTAGTGGCGCGCCGTCGGCCGCGGCGAGTCAACCCCGCAGACGGACGGCGACGTGTCGGCTGTGCATGAGGCGTTGTTGGAGGCCGCCGGGCGAGCGGGTGCGAGGGAGAGAGAAGTAGGTCTGCATCGCCCCTCTCTCTTCCCCGGGCTGAATGACTCCGGCTGGCGGGTCTGCTCTATCAGCTCTGTGGTAGTACTACTCTGCACGCGGGGCCACCTCACCCGCCCGCGCAGCGCCCGCGCGCCAGCCAGCCGTCTAGCCGCGCCAACACCGCCGCCGCCGCCGCGCCTTCCGTTTTTCTAGGAATCGTAGAAAAGACGCGGTGCCGGCTCTGCAGACGAGACGGCGAGGCGGCGCGGAGCGGAGGCGCCACCGCGGCGATAGCGGGCAATCACCCGCGCCGCTCAGGTACCGCGGGGTACTTTTATCACGGCGTGCTGCGGTCCCAGGGGGTACTTTTATTACTGTGCGCCGACGTGCCGCGGGGGTACTTTAATCACGGCGCACTGCGGTACCACGGAGGTTGTACTGCTGTCACGGCGCGCTGAGCTGCTGAGGTACCAGCGGGAGTACTTTTATCACGGAGGTCTTTGCAGTTGAAGGGGGTGGGGGGAGGACCTGCGAGAGTGTGGTGGTGTGTGCTCTGCTGCTGCCACTTCACTCCAATTGAGCCTTCCTGTGAGACCGTGCGCCATACGCGGAGTGTATAGTGTGTAGCCCACTGGCGCGGACGACAGCACGTTCTTAGGCCACACGTTAGCCGCGGGCGCCTGCCCGGCCCGTTTGGTCCCCGCAGAACTTGCCTTTCCAGTCAGTGCGGGGGGCCGGTCGTAAAAGTACTCGTAGTAACTCTCCTCCGGGGTGTGAGTAGCCTATAGTGGGGCGCCCAGGTAACTGTTCCTTCGTAAGAACGAAATCATGACTTTGACGACATTTTCGTTCGTTATTATAAGCAAACTTTTTTCAGTTCAAACAAAATTAGTTTTCGAAGTAAAAATAAATACATTTTTTGTCATCTGAACGAAAACTTTGACTTAAGTCTCCGCCACGAAATTTTCTTTATAGTGAAATAATTTCCATTTGCCAAAGAAACGGTTGTCTGGTGAGGTGTCTCTCCCCGCGCTTGGCTGTGTAGCCGCGACAGCATTTACATACGGCGCGACGCGACGCGCGAGACGGACCAACTCGTTCTGTAGTATGTGGCTGACGACATCGCCCATCCCGCGGCGCCCCGTGCGCGCTGGAGCTGGAGAGCCAGGCTGGAGAGCCAGGCCGGAGAGCCAGGCTGGAGAGCCAGGCTGGAGAGCCAGGCTGGAGAGCCAGGCTGGAGAGCCAGGCCGGAGAGAGGAGCGCGGGCGAAGTGCACGGGCTGGAGGAAAAATAAAAAGTCTGAAGAGGCGCTGCTGCAGGAAGGGCCTGGAGAGGGCTGGCTGGAGGAGCAAATGACGAGGTCTTGGGTGGTTCTGGAGAGGCTCGAGGGGCTGGGGGGG